ATAAAAGTGTAATCAATGGACAATCATATGGACACAGCGTCTCCAAAGAGCTGAATTAGAAGCTTACGCGTCTGATTCGAGCGGGGTGAACGCCTCAGGCTTCAGTTCTACTTAAAGCGAGGAGGAAAGAGTCTCTGTTTAAAATTCACTGATTGCTGTCAGACGAACGGCGGTGTCAAACTAACATCAGAGCTAATGAATCCGGTGTGCACCTCCTGACTGATTTAATAGGACAGAAGACTAAACACTTTTATGTAATTAGCATATAAATGAGACAGGCAGACATCAGGCCTGTACAATTAGAGATGAAATGTCCTGAAAGGAGCAAATAATGCTAAGAAGACCCTGGACAATGTTTTCTCCCTCTCTTTTTCTCTCCAGGAAAAAAAACAAAAAAAAACTATAGGCTCCACAGCAAAATAATAATTAAAAAAAATTCAATAAATAAATAAAAAGTACATACTGATATTGTTTAGACTAATTATAAAACATACATATTGTACACGACCCTTCAAAGATTTGGATTTGTAATGTTTTAATGCTCACCAAGGCTGTATTTATTTGATTAAAAAAATAGTTAAAACAGTAATATTGTGAAATATTATTACAATTTGAAATAACTGTTTTCTATTTTTATATACTTAAATAGCAATTTATTCCTGTGATGGCAAAGCTGAATTCTCAGCAGTCATTACTCCAGTCACATGGTCCATCAGAAATTATTCTAATATGTGACCCTGGACCACAAAAGCAGTCATAAGGGTCAATTTTGTGAAATTGAGATTTATACATCATCTGAAGGCTGATGAAAGCATCTGAAAGCATCATCTGAAATATTTGGCCGAGATACAACTATAAAGCACATCCTGTTTGCTTTCATTATTTTACAAAAGCACATTTTGTTGTTATTGTGAGTGCACACCAATAAACGTAGAGTCTTTGCAGATTTGAAAGATGTATTATTCTTATCTGTATGACCAAAAATGAGGGATTATTTTAAGAGCAAGTGAGAGCACCGGTGCCTCCATCTGTCCAGCGGTGAGCACGCTGCTGTTCAGCTTCCGCACAGCCACTTGAACAGCACACATTTCTCTAGGTTAACATTAGATTGAGCGGCCATGTAAAGTTGCTAATACTTACATATTTCAGATGATAAGCCATATTTGTGGTGGATGAATGATAGGCGAGTGTTTGGATGTCCTGCTGGATGTACGGTCTTACCATAGACCAGTCGTTAACGATCTGCGTGACTTCGCCAATGTGGATTTTTTTTTTTGTGACTAAGCGACTAATAAAATTTTGGTCGACCAAGCCTCTTCTGGTCGACTAACAATTAGTCAACTATTAGGGGGCAACCCTAGACTCCACTAGCTAGTTCTTGCTCAATGAACTATGGCTGCTTTTTCAATTTCTCCAATTACTGTATTGGCAACACATAGTCTAGATGCCGAAGAGCTGGTAAACAGTTTCAATACTTTTTGTACAGCTATCTTAAATTAAGTTTCTCCTCTTAAAGCTAAGCCACCCAAACTGGGAAAAATAATTAGAATGTTTAATGAGAATATGGTTGTTCAAGGAGGTACTTGACTATGTCTCATCTAGTGTACTCCTTATCGTAATCCCGGTTTACAAAAGCTCCATTCCATCCTGTCTTAAACATGCTGCAGTTGAGCCACTGTTTAAATAACAAACCTTGACTCTATTGATCCAATTAATTACAGGCCTATTTCAAAATTACCTTTTTGTCAAAAATTCTAGAGAATGTTGTACTAAATCTCATTTCATTTGCAATAAATCTACTTTTAAAAGTAGCAAATTACTTCCTGCTATTTGTATATTCTGGTAATTGTTCCATCCTTGTATAGCAGGACTTGCTTTTGACACCACTGATCATTGCATTCTCCTAAATAGACGAAAACTTGAGGTCAGCATCCATAGAGCTGCAGTAAACTTATTTTGTCTTTACTAAAAGGAGTTTTTTGGTGGAAATTGGAGCAATCTTATCACCTACAGTTCCTATCTCCTGTGGTGTGCCTCAAGGCTCTGTCCTGGGTCAAACCTTTTTCTCCTTATATATGCTTCCTGCTTCATGACATTTGTGATCCTGGACCACAAAACCAGTCATAAGGGTACATTTTTTGAAATTGAGATTTATGCTCAACGCATATCAAAGATACAACTATTTAAATATCTGGAATCTGAGGGTGCAAAAAAAAAAATACTGAGAAAATCGCCTTTAAAAGTTGTCCAAATGAAGTTCTTAGCAATGCATATTACTAATCAAAAATTTATTTTGTATATATTTACAGAAGGAAATGTACATAATATCTTAATGGAACATGATACTTAATATCCTAATGATTTTTGGCATAAAAGAAAAATATAATTTTAACCCATACAATGTTTTTTTGGCTATTACTACAAATATACCCCAGCGACTTAAGACTGGTTTTGTGGTCCAGTGTCACATATGCTGATTTCGTGCTCAAGAAACCTTTCTTAAGTTGTTAAAAATGGTTGTGCTGCTTAAGATTTTTTTAGTGGAAACTGTGAACATTTTACAGGATTCTTTAAAGGGGTCATATGATGCGATTTCAATTTTTCCTTTCTCTTTGGAGTGTTACAAGCTCTTGGTGCATAAAGAAGATCTGTAAAGTTGCAAAGACTAAAGTCTCAAATCCAAAGAGATATTTTTTATAAAAGTTAAGAGTCAGCCACACCTACCTAAAACGGCTCGTTCTAACACGCCCCCACATATCTATGTCACGATGTGGAAAGATTTGCATAACGCGGCCCAAATGTTCACGCAAAGAAAGGCGCCGTAACTTTTATTCTCGCTGTAGTTTTGTTGTTTCCGCCGCCATGTCGTGAAGGTTTACATGGCGCGATGCAACGCGGTGCGTAAAAAGACAGTATAAGTCATTATAATCCATAATTATGTCCCCACTGGATGCAACGAATGCCTCGTTTATAATGGGTTTTCATGTTTTTGAATCATAGCTCCGGCCTGACAGGGCATCATCACAATTTGGTAAGTGGTGTAACAGTTCCGTCTCACGCTTGAGGTATTCGGCCAATAACAATGCACTAGATAGCTGGCCAATCACAGCACACCTAGCTTTTTCAGACCGATGAGCTTTGTAAAAATCTACGCGTTTCAGAAAGGCGAGGCATAGAGGAGAAACAATAATGTACAGTATGTGGAAAATAATGTGTTTTTTTTTTTTTTAAATATGACCCCTTTAATCTCATTGTTACATGGTTGTAGTCATTGTTAAAATTACATTTAAAAAAATTAAATAATAAAACGTTGTGTTAGACGCACAGCTAAAGTACATTAGAGAGTGAAAGTAGTACCTTGGAGTTCCAGTCATAGTGGTAACCCAGTGTCACCCAGCGCAGCTTTTCTAGCAGAGTTTTGGGCTCTCTTTTCCCACAGCCTTTCCTCCTGCAATAATACACAGACCCATTCAGATAAGAAACAGTTGTGTGATGGATTAGGTGCAGTGTAGCAGCGCAAACCATTTACACAAATGTTTTGTGATAAAGAGACTCTAACAAACTGCAAATTCTCAAATCTACCATCTAAGTCCCAGTATAATTACCACAGACCTAGCCACAAGCAAAGCATCTATGGGTATGAAATATACTCAGTAGAGGATGGAGATACTCAAAATACACATATATAACATAGGCCTATGTTTTATTCTAAAAAATTGCCTAAATGCACAAACATAATATACAATAAATTATATTCCACTAAACTGCCAATTCAAGGCAGGATCTTAGACTTACTGAATAACATCTCTACTTTTTCCCCAGATGTTTTCCGTCTCCACAGATGACATATGCATATCCAGGTTACACACGTTGGGTTTCTGTGGATAGATCTTCAGACACTGCTTTACCCAGTACTGCTGAGAACCCGGCAGGAATGGGTTGGATATAAAGATAAACCCTACATTCCAACAGTGACAATATAGTTAATTTAATCCCATCAAAAGTAAACAGGAAGACATGGACGATTCCAATCACGACATGTTATGGAGCAAGATTTAAACACGTTTTATACAGTGTTTGTACATAGAGTTTCAAGCAAACCCATAAAATCCTTTACACCCCAGACAACATACAGATTGTTAATTATTCGAAACTGCCACCAGCCTATCTAAACCATACCTGGATATCCATGAAGACCAAATGCCCTCCAGTCTTTTACCGGCCGAAGACCAGCTTTGGAAACATCTTCCTCACTTATAGGAGTGGAATTAAGTTCACAGGTAAAAACCTTGCAAAGCAGACAATTTTTAATGACTAGAAACCCAAAACTGAATTTGTGCCAAGTTCTGTAAGCATCTAATATTATACTTGAAGCCAGAATTAGTCAATAAACATAGTCCACAGCCAAATTAGTAAGTAAATCTAAATCATAAAATATTCTAATTACTGGTTAAAAATTACAATAATATACACAGTTAAGTAAAGACGCATATTGTGTCATAAAAATGAATATGGCAATATTCATCAAGTCCGAATCCCTCACCTTGTCATTAGAAGGTCTGGTTTATACAGGTAATCAAATGTTCTAATAACTGACTCATTTCAATAATAATACTATACCACACAGTTTAGGAAAGACTTATAGTGTCAAAGTTAATGAATACTGAAATATTCTTCAAATCTGAATGGCTCACCTTGTCTTTACAAGGTTTGGAGAAATGAATGACCTCACTGAAGTCTGGAGGAGGATTTCTCCTCTTGTAAATCTTGAACAATTTTCTAAAAGCATCTTCTCCATGCTCCGCTATGGAGGCTGCCATCTTTGCCGTGACCTTTCTACTTCTGACGTCAGCGATGCAAATCTTCGATTTGATTGAGATATATTTATTATGTAACGTAAATAAAATAACAATTATGAACATAAAATGTATCTTGATGCAATATTTAAAGTTTCTAAATTGTATAGATTAATGGAATATTTTTTTTTCCTTCTTGCCACGTGGTCACGGGGGTCACCGTCAGCTTTATTCGGAAGGACTAAACATGGCGGCGACAGCGGCAGGCAAGAAGGTGTTTGAAGTATTTGTGTCAAAAGTACCATGGACCGTCGCAACGAGTGAGTAAAAGATGTCATTTAATAAATGATTTTACATCAGATTAAATTAATATTAAGAGTGTAAGTTAATAAAATAAGTCACTATCCTTAACTTCGAAACATCTTTGATAGAATAGAACATAATAATGTTTTGTATGTACAACAAATAATTGTCTAATGTATGTTATTGCACTGTGTTCGGTTTCAGAGGAAGTTAAAGAATACTTTAGGCAGTTTGGCCAGGTGAAGAAGTGTCTACTGCCTTTTGTAAGTAAGAATGCACGTAGATGTAATGTTTCATCTTGGTAAAAGTCTGTATTGCTGAGATGGTTTCTCTCTTGTCTAACAGGATAAAGAGACAGGTTTTCATAGGGGGTTTTGCTGGATAGGGTTCACTACGGAGGAAGGACTGCAGAATGCATTACAAAAGGATCCTCACATCATTGAAGGAGCAAGGGTGAGCGTCCAGTTGGGAACTAGATGAAGTAGCCATTAGATGTATCTGGTAAACATTGTAGTTTGAACATCTGCATCAAAATTCTCATTTTCTATTTTTCTTTTAATGCAGCTCCAGGTGCAAAAAAACAGAAAGCCGTTTTCTGGAAGAAAATCAAACAAAGAAGCAGAAGACATCTGAAGAGGACATCAGAAATGATCTGATTTCAAGCGTCAAGTGTCTCCAGCAACACAGAATTGTATTTATTGTGGATGTTTCATCACTGGGTGCACTTGTTTTTCAGAAGCCTAAGGAGTGTTGATTGCTGTTGTATTGTCTAGTGTTTTTTTTTTCTTATAACGTTTAATGACATGCGAGTCAAATAAAAATGTGAAAATCATTTGCTGTGTTGGCTACAGATGGCTTTTCTTTGTCGGTCTAATTTTTTTTTTGTGCATTTCAGCATTTTGCCTTTTACAAAACTTTTTAAAAGTGCTCTCTAAAAAAAATATTTTTTTATGTTCCAATAATATGTTTTGCTATATTGGGTGAAAGTCTCTTCACATCCTGAATGCAAACAATTTAAAGTGATCTAAATATAAAAAATGGACTGTGGAAGTCTCAAGACCGTAAAATGTTTGTCCAATCATTGCATTCGGTCCAAATGCATTGATAGGATGTCTTACCTGCCTGCCAACATATATATATATATTACCAGACCAGCCAATGGCGAGAGTTTGGGGCATATATATATTATATATGAAGCGTTCAGATGCAAAAGCCTCTGTGCCGTCTTAAATTTTCTTCTAAAATTAGCATTTTTATCAGGCTCCTATGTTTATGTTCAGTAATTTTACTTCAATGGCAATGTATAGGTCATTTTCTATGCCATTAAAGTGAAATAACTGAACAATAATATAAGAGCCTGATACAAATTCTGATTTTAGAAGAAAATTTCAGAAGGCACTTAGAGGCTTTTGCATCTGAACTCTTCTCACACACACACACACACACTATATATATATATATAAATATATATATTAGTCGTTCTGCTAACTAGATGACACTAGCAGTGCAGAAATCTAGCTTTAATTCCTTATTACTTTTGCATGTAATAGATGAGTGATAACTTGAGTGTTTTATGTATAGCTTATGTTATGCAAATGCATGAGACATTTAATCAGTGTTGTTAATTTATTTATAGGTTAATTAACTGTCACCCGTCCCCTCTGTGGGACGCTTAAGTTTACTTCACTATATTACAATTAAATCCTAATCTACTCATGACAAACTATATATCGTTGGAAAGGTCTAAGACTCCTAAATTGATATTTACCACTGTTTTTTGTTAAAAATTATGTAGGAAAAGTAATAGATGAATATGACAAGAGTGCACCTCAAAAATCTACATCATAACAGGAGTTCTGACCTTTGTCACAAAAAGTCTTCTTCGCTGCCTTTTTCTCTGTCACACTTTAGAAATCATCAGAAATTATATATCAATTGAAAACTTAAAATCTCAAAATTCATCCTATGAAAACCATTTTAAAATCAGACATTGCATTACCATGAAAATGGTACATCAAAATCATATTACAAAATCTTTTCATTCATGAATTATAAAAATTTAAGCTTGGATAGTGCACTTTCACGTCTATGTTCAAAAATGTGAGTGACAATTAAGGGGTTAATCAAGGCTGCCTCTAGGATGACTTTGGTAATGTTCCGGTCACATTATCTGTCCGAGCTCATGTCATCTTAAATCTTGTCACGCTCCATCACTACCCTGTCCTCTTCACCTGAAAGATAAATAGTATATAATGTGTTTACGGTTTAAAATAGATCTGTTGCCTGAGGTTCCCTGTAAGAAGAATGTGGTTGAAATCGTTTACCTTTTTTATTTGTTTTTATTGTAACATCTGCTCAGTCATATTATTTAATTGAAAAAAAAAATGGGTTATAGTCATTCATTTTTGAACTTACATCCACTTACCATAATGCAATGCTATGGTACTTATCTAAAAATGTTAAAATTAAGTTTCAACCATGAGAATGCATTTGTGTAAGAAAATAAATCACAGCTGTGTTAGTTTCTTACATGAAAGACGTGCTTGAAAATAGATTAATAGCTTAAAATGTTTAATATTTAAGGTTAATTTAATTTTTAAATGGCATGTACGGACATTTTTCTCTAATGACTGAATATGATTGTTAACTACAATGACCATGATGCATTGCGCGCCACGCTCGTTTTGTTGTCAACAGATACGCCAGAGTTTAAAGGTCACAGAGCGACACCGGTTAGCGGACGACAGTCAATGAAGGTAAATCAGTCAGCTGTTCTGTGGTTCTCTGAAAATACATCATTAGTCACAGTTATTAACTCAGATATCATGCAATAAAACGGTGGCGGTTATTTTGTTATATGCTCTCTGTGTGTTACGCAAGCGCTTGTGTAACAAACATTGTTTGTGATGGGCTGACCGTGTCTTTCACTACACCGACTGATGTTATGAATGAAACCGCTTCACTAGTGCTTCGATGTCCTTTGTTTAAACTATGTAGTGGTGGGGTATTCATAAATTTGATAAATATCTAAATATTGCTTAGTTTTCATAACCATCTCACATGGTCAAAACCAATGACCCCACAACCTTGATACCACGCCCCCAATACTTTAACAGCAGCAAATTCATTTAATCAAAGTAATCAACACGTTATTAGTGATTACTATGTATTGTTTACTATTATTTTTGAAAATATCTTAGTATATCATTAATGGTTTGTGGTTTGCATACTGTGTGTGGGAAGGCATATGGCATGAGTCATTATGATAAATTAAATAATCAGTTATTAAAGTATAATATTGAGTGTGTTTTTTAAATTAGGCTGATGTTTTGAGTATATTTACTACAGGGGCAGATGCTCAGGGATGATGTTAATGGATCTCTGTGTTTTTGCAGCTCCTCACATGGCTGTTCGACTACTGAAGGTATCATCTGTCGCCACTGCAGTGTTGGCATCGTCAGGATTCTACTTGTACAGCAAAAATGTGGACTTCAATGATCTCAGCATCGTCAGATTTGGCAGGGCAGCTGCGACAGTAAATATGATTTTTTTTTTTCATTTAATGCTTTGAGTTCATTAAACTTTTAATCCCTTTGAAAACTTTTAAATATGAATTATTACTTTTATATTAAATAATTTATTAAATATTAAATGTATATTAAATACTTTTAAATACTCATGTGTTTGAATCACAGCAAGTAAATTACTTAAAAAAAATATCTAAAGTAAAATGCAAATACAGCATATTTTAAATGTATTGTCCTGTCCAGTGTTCAGATTTTTATTCACAGTCTTTTTTTCTTTTTCTCTGAAATGTACCATGGTAAAACCATTGTATCTTTTGCAGTACTCTGGAGTACCATGCTAGTTCCATAGTAAATAAACAATGTAATCATTTAGTTCCATAGTACTAAAATCATATTAAGATATGATTTTACCATCTGACACATCGCTGTCACGTGGTACGCAAGATCACTTTTATTTAAGAGTATTTAAAATGTTTTGATTTTCACAGTATGTTAGTGTTTTTGAGTGATAACTTGAATCGGTGAATCAGAGTTATGATGAATTGACTTAAAGAAATGAACAGTTTGATTTTTAAATAAATACTACTTTTATATCAATAAAATACTTTTTAAAACTATTGCGTTTGAGTCGCAGTGAGGCAAGTGAATTGCTTAAAAAAACATTTTTAAAAAATGCAAATACAGTGTATTTTAAATGTCTTGTTCTGTGTCCAGTGTGCAGATTTTTATTCACAGTTTTCTTTGTCTCTGAAATGAATGTTTTCAGACGGCTGTCATCAGTTATGACTACCTCACCACTCTCAGAGATGTACAGTATGGGACAGAGGAGTACTGGGCTGTCAAATCAAAGGTAAAACTTTTTGTCTTGATGGTGATAGGTTATATCTAGGAATATCTGCTGTGTGGACATTTTTCTTTATTTCGTTTTTTTGGGCTTTTGCACTTATTTTTTAGGAAAGTGGAGTGTAGCCAGAAAAGTAGGGGTCCCTGAGCTCTGACATGATCATTTTTCTTGAAAATCCTCATTTCAAGAAAGGAATATTGTGGTCCTGTAAAATAATTTTCGTAGCGATGAATGAGTACTTTTGCCATAGAGTACACTTAATATGTGCTGCTTCTATGATTTGCTGGGTTTGCTACCAAGAGATCCAGAAAAGGCCTGAACAATCATAACTTGCATTGTTTCAGGAATCACTATATGTATGGGTATATAATGATATAAGCAGTGTGCATTTCAGGAATATTTATTGTAATATTCCACTCACCCATAAGAATTTTTTATTGCAGGCTTCATGATTTTTAGTCATAACCTTACATTGATTTTTACTCCTATATATTGTGTGTGTTCATGCAGTCTTAAATTGCATGTAGTTTTAATAAGCAATCATATTTTATTAAATGTCATCCAAGCCAGCACAATCCTCAATCTAATATGATGGCATGTAAGTCAATAATCAACATGCAGTCTCATTATTGATGCATTGATCGTGCTTTCAAAACACACCATTAAATTAAAAATATCTTAAAACACCCTTAACAATCTGCCTTGCTGTTTGTAGGATCATAGCTGCAAATGCCAGGCAATAATTCAATAATAGGGGTGCCATTTCTACCCCTGTGTCTGAAGGCCATTTGAACAGCTCTGTCAGGTACAGTTAAACAGCTGGAGCAGGGAAAGGTTGCAGTCTCTTACCCGTGTTTGTGAGTCTGGACACTGATGGCAGCCGCTGGAGGGAAGCGCTGAACCCTGAAGAGCAGGGTCTGAGCCAGATGCACTCTCTGCCAGGCCTGGGTTCGGAGGATAGGGTACCGTTCTCTTTCCCCCTCGGGGCCCGCAGTCAAGCCTGGCTACACACTCTGATTAGAATTAATGTAGGCCCTTGATTTAATATAGAGGAGAGATTTGGCTTCTAATTATTCTCTCACTAGGCGATTCAGTTCACTGGTCTTAGGTTGTTTCGGATCATTCTTGCTTAGATTTTTCCCAGTTACTGTTTTTCTGCATTCTGGACAGTTGTACAAATGAACAGGTTTAAAAGTCTTTTAAATAGTGAACACCTAAACATCTTTGGGATGGGTGGGTGGGTGTTAATCTACTGTGATATTACCATGTTTTTTTTGGACATGATACTATAGTAATACCATGTGGTTCTGCAGATTTACCATAGCACAATATTTTTGGACATATGCCATAGTAAAAGCACTGTATATTTAGCATTTTCTTTGAGTACCATGACAAAACCATACTAATTGAATAGTGTAATCATTTAGTACCATAGTATTTATTTCAGTTAATTAATCTGACACATCACTGTAACGTGGCACGCAATATCACTTTTGTGTATGCATTTTAATAACTGGAGATGTTTCGTTTTTTTGAGTGATATTGTTGAATCAGGATTGACAGTTTGAACTGATTTGAAATTATTAAAACTTTTGTTGGGCGTTTTTTCCCACTTTTTAATAAATTATACCAGACGGATAACTTGTTATCTGTATTAATAAATACAAGCTACATTTTAATGCATAACCTCATAATCATGTTGCAGGTAATTGAATCATCAAAGTTTAGTGGATCAAGGTCCTGGCAAGTGTCCGAATTCATGTTCGTAATATACTAATTCAAATTATAGGGAACTAGAGAGTGGAATGAGACGTACAGTACTTGTAGTTTGGTATCACCACATTTGCACATTTTCATGTTTCATTACTAAAATTTGTGAGGGAGGAGGGTTTTTGGGAGGCAGTGGATGTTTTGCAGAAGGACGAGCATGTCTCATTGCTCCATGAGAACAGTGCAAGGGATCATGGGGGAGCTCCCAGGTGTTGCGGCTCTGTAATGGCCACAGCGTGTGACTCATGTAATGAGGGGCGTTCCACGCAGTTAACCATGCCTCTGCTCTCTGCAGACCAGACCACCTGCTCTTTGTGCCTACCAAGAGCTTTCTATCTCCGCCATTAAATCACAACTCACTTTTGTGTGACGTAATGATTGCTGAGATTCTAGACAGTTTTACTTTTTGCACTTTATAATAACCATGTTAACATGAATGTTAGTTTAATTTTTTTAAAAGAAATTAATACTTTTATTCAGCAAGAATACATTAAATGTATCAACTTTTAAACAGATAATGATAAGAAATGTTTTATCTGATTAAAATTATCTGTTTAAAACAGATAATGATAAGAAATGTTTCTCTAGGATCAATTCAGCATATTAGAAGGATCATGTGACACTAAAGACTGGTGTATTGGCTGTTGAAAAACCAACTTTGCCATCACATGAATTACATTTTAAAATATATTAAAATAGGAAATAGTTATTTTAAATAGAAATAATACTTCACAAAATATTTTTTTTTTATAATAAATAAAAAAACGGTATTTTTGATCAAATAAATACTTAAAGGGATAGTTCACCCAAAAATAAAAATTTGATGTTTATCTGCTTACCCCCAGGGCATCCAAGATGTAGGTGACTTTGTTTCTTCAGTAGAACACAAACAAAGATTTTTAACTCAAACCGTTGCAGTCTGTCAGTCATATAATGGAAGTGGATGGGAATCACAACTTTGAGAGTCAAAAAAACATACACAAACAAAACCAAATTAAACCCTGCGGCTCGTGACGATACATTGATGTGTAAAGACACAAAACGATCGGTCTGTGCAAGAAACTGAACTGTATTTATATCGTTTTTTTACCTCTGATTCACGCAATGTCCGAACTGTCCTGAGAGCGTTCGCGTCGTCTTCTTCAGCCTCCGCGTGACGTTTAAGGGGGTCTGAATACTTTCCGTACCCACTGTAAATACTGTTCAGTTTCTTGCACAGACCGATTGTTTTATGTCTTTACACATCAATGTATCGTCACGAGCCACAGGGTTTAATTTGGTTTTGTTTGTGTATGTTTTTTTGACTCTCAAAGCCGTGATTCCCATTCACTTCCATTATATGACTGAAAGACTGCAAAGGTTTGAGTTAAAAATCATCATATGTGTTCTACTGAAGAAACAAAGTCACCTACATCTTGGATGCCCTGGGGTAAGCAGATAAACATCAACTTTTCATTTTTTAGGTGAACTATCCCTTTAAGAGATGTCTTTAAAAAAATCCTACAGACCCCAAACCTTTGAATTGAAGTGTATTTTAAAGTGAAACAGCATATAAGTAGTGTTATATTGAGGATGTTACTTTTGTTGTTACAAAGATTTTGTCCATTTGAGTAGAATTGAGTAGATTGTGAAAAATTTTTTAATTGATGGGTTGAAAAATAGGGCTTGGTGACATCAGCTGAGGTTGTTACATTTTGATCAAGATTGATTCTATGCCACGTCGAACAGCTTATTAAACAGAATAGATCATTTAACCCGTTCAGTTGATCAGATCATTAAAGTACATTCAAATATGATCAGTTTTGCCAGCCAGGGCCCTGACTTAAACCCAATTGAGCATCTCTGGAGAGACCTAAAAATGGCTGTTCACCAACGTTTACCATCCAACCTGACCGAACTGGAGAGGATCTGCAAGGAGGGATGGCAGAGGATCCCCAAATCCAGGTGTGAACAACTTGTTGCATCTTTCCCAAAAAGACTCATGGCTGTATTAGATCAAAAGGGTGCTTCTACTAAATACTGAGCAAAGGGTCTGAATACTTAGGACCATGTGATATTTCAGTTTTTCTTTTTTAATAAATCTGCAAAAATGTCAACAATTCTGTGTTTTTCTGTCAAAATGGGGTGCTGTGTGTACATTAATGAGGAAAAAAAATTAACTTAAATGATTTTAGCAAATGGCTGCAATATAACAAAGAGTGAAACATTTAAGGGGGTCTGAATACTTTCCGTACCCACTGTAAATACTGTTCAGTTTCTTGCACAGACCGATTGTTTTATGTCTTTACACATCAATGTATCGTCACGAGCCACAGGGTTTAATTTGGTTTTGTTTGTGTATGTTTTTTTGACTCTCAAAGCCGTGATTCCCATTCACTTCCATTATATGACTGAAAGACTGCAAAGGTTTGAGTTAAAAATCATCATATGTGTTCTACTGAAGAAACAAAGTCACTTACATCTTGGATGCCGTGGGGTAAGCAGATAAACATCAACTTTTCATTTTTTAGGTGAACTATCCCTTTAAGAGATGTCTTTAAAAAATCCTACAGACCCCAAACCTTTGAATTGAAGTGTATTTTAAAGTGAAACAGCATATAAGTAGTGTTATATTGAGGATGTTACTTTTGTTGTTACAAAGATTTTGTCCATTTGAGTAGAATTGAGTAGATTGTGAAAATTTTTTTAATTGATGGGTTGAAAAATAGGGCTTGGTGACATCAGCTGAGGTTGTTACATTTTGATCAAGATGGATTCTATGCCATGTCGAACAGCTCATTAAACAGAATAGATCATTTAACCCGTTCAGTTGATCAGATCATTAAAGTACATTCAAATATGATCAGTTTTGTTTAGAATGTTTATATCAGGGCCAACAATTGATTTTAATGTATTTTATTGTGACAAATGGGTAAAGTATTGAATAGATGAAAAGTGGCTTAAAAATTGAATATTTAGTTTGAGTTATTTCCATATCATTCAGCGTAAGTCTATATGCTGACAGTCTACAGCAATCAGTTTGGTCTTTTAAAAATGCGCTTTAACGGATGTTGTGACCATTCAGTCCATATTATTATTATTATTATTTATTTACACTTTGCAGTTGGAGTTTAAAATGACTACCAGCAGCAGTTATAGTACCTAAACCACAAAACTGAATGTGAATCTGGAAACTAGAGCCACCTCCCTCCCCTCCTAGTCTCTCAAAATCTATCATGTAGAAACTGCAGGATATC